AATTTTGTCTTGGGTGGTGCGTGCTGAGTGTGATGCTGCTGAGTCCTGTTGGAATTTCCAAGGTCTACGGCCAAAATGTTTGCATTCCCAAGGCTTTAATACACCCTCCAGAATATTTTCGCGATAATACTCGGCATTTATTGTGATGCCACGGTCGATTAATACGAGCGGAGGGCGACCATCGACTGTTATCGCGGCCCACATCATCACCATGGCCGGCGCTTGAGTTCTGGTGGCCAACTGAAGGTGCACATTTTCAGCTGACCTCTTTGGCAACTAAACACCATAATTTTGTTTGTTTACAAACTGCTGGACAGCGAATATTCTATCATCGGAGAAACCAAATTCGGCAGTTCACCACTTTCGGCCAAGCGAAGCAACTCTTTAGCCCTTTTGATGTATTTTCTTCCTGTTTTGGTGTAAGTTCTTGCACTTTTTGGAATTTCAATGGCTTTACCCCGTGCTCATTTTTCAATATTTGCCGAATAGAATATTGCGATGTGTTCAGCTCACGAGCAATTTTTCGGCCACTGCGACGCGGGTTTCGATCAAGTCGCTTCTTTACTTTTCGAATTATTTCTGCTGATGTTACTGTTTTCTTCCGTCCACTTCTATGACATCGGGCTAAGCTTCCAGTACGGTAACGAGCGATGGTACGAGACTCAAAAGATTTATTCACATTAAAATGCTGGAGTGCTCTAACGATAGCCACTTGTGGTTTTCCAGCCAAATATAAAGTAATCACATTACCACGCTTGAATTAGATCACGAATAACTTTTTTCTGGAAAATTCTCACCAAAATGCTTTTGTACGCTTGTAAACAATATATTGAGCTGTCACTGGAAAAATTTTAACAGCTGTCGGACGTGTGGCTTAGAAATGTCACACCCTGTATATGTTATACTTTTTATAACTCTAAAATATCTTTGATATTTATTTTATCTAAGAAGACAGTCTTACAGAATTTTTATCCATTGAGGTCCTTCTGATGGTTTATTTTTCTCTTCAAGGTCTTACTGCCAAAAACCCCCCCTCCAAAAAGTCTTGTCTTATCATACAAACATATAAAATATCATGCAATTTATTTCTATCACAAACACTTGACATTTATCCCCAGTCCCAAAGGATAAGTCGTGGTGTTGTCTTTCACATTCGAAAAAAATGAAAAGATAAGAGTTTGACACATTGTCGAATATTTTTCACAGACATTTGAGAGACGTCAATGCAATCAGTGATATGTCACTATCATTTACATCAATACATTTAATTTGATTTCCTCGCACCACCATCAGCAACCACCAACTAAAAAAACAACAACACATTTTTGTGGTAAATCTGAGTAGCCACTGGCCGCCAAACAGAGCCGCCTCAACTATTACCCACACTGTGATGACCATAAAAAAATCTTATCATATCTGATGTTTTTTGGTTTAAGGGGGTGTTTACGACCACTTAAGTGTGATGGTCAATATTTTGTTAGGTTGTTTTTGTTTTTCCGATTTGTGACACCCTCTGTGTTATAAGAGTTTTGCGGGGGGGAGGGAGGTGGTGTTTTTTTTATCACACTACTACTTGTGATATTGGCTGCTAACATGTCATAAAAAATAATGTACAAACTACACATATCTAATGCAGTCGTCGTCGTTGTTGCTGTTGTTATCATTCTGCATAACAAAAAGCTAAAGCCACAACTGAACCAACGATCCCATTAAGACAAGTGTTCTACGGGTTTTCCACATTCAGTTCCTGAGGGAATTCCGTTGATATTATCTCTCGAATATGGCAATTTTTTATTAAGCTTCTGTTGATGATATGATGTCATTAAGGAGTCATAAAATCAACTAAAAGTATTGAAAATAGGAAGTTTATTTTATGAGAGTAGTCCGTAACTCATAACCCATAAATATCGTTTAAGAAACATATGCTACCTAGACGGTAAGTAGGTAATTTATGGTGTGAATGGTTTTTGGGGGAATATTTGGGGTTTATATGCGGGTAATGTATTTTTGATAAAAAACAAACAATATGTTACCTTTTCAAGGAGATTTTCAATATAAATCCTGTCAAAATTCATCTGTCTATATAAGATTTTTCAAGAGTCATCTATCTATGGAGCAGGTTTTTTACCTCTTTTGTCTATGGAATTATTTTGAAAAGAAGTTGTTTATTTTTTTAATTTCTTTGCAATTGAAGGAAACTTTAAGTGGCCAATTTAAGTAGATTTACAAAGTCAATAGAAGGTCTGAATATAGCCTTCGTTCTATAGTAGACCTTAAGGTAATCTTTTGTTTATAACTAAGAACTAAGGAAGACCCGAAGAACATCTGACGAGACTTCCTTCAAAAGAAGGCTTGGAGAAGCTCTTTCGTCAATAGGAGGCCTAAAGAAAGTCTTGTGCCTTTCGAAGACTTGAAAATGTTCTTCCGTCTCCGGGAGATATAAAAAAGCTCTACTGATTTTAGAAGTTCTTAATAAAGTCTTTTGCCTAATGAGGTCTTCAAGATTGACATCTATAAAACTTAATAAATAATTAAAACAAGTAAAAAAGCTGTAAGTTCGGCCGGGCCGAACTTTGAATACGCTCAACCATTTGGAACGAATTTGGCAATTTTCAAAAAATAAAATCTGTTACAAATTCTGTTAAAATTTTAAAAATACCGAATGTAGCTGTTATATTAGGGTCTATACGACGACAAGGACCTGCATAGGTAAACTTTGTCATAAGCCATTACAATATTCTAATGCGAAACAAAAAAATCGGTGAATAATGTAGCTAAAATCATTGAAATACCGAATATCGGGAGGTACCATTATAAGGGGACCATACCAAAACGTGGTCTTGCACCGACAATTTTCTGTCATAGGCTGTAGTATGTAGTACGAATTTCAAATACCAAATTTGAAACAATTCCGGTAAATTATGTCGCTAAAATCATCAAAATACCGAATATCGGGAGGTATAGTTATATAGAAGCAATAAGAAGGCGTGGACCTGCACAGACACTTTTCTGTCCTTGGTTGCAGTATCCATTACGAACTTCAAATACCAAATTTGAAACAATTCCGGTGAATAATGCTGCTAAAATCATCAAAATACCGAATAGAGGGAGGTATCGTTATATGGGAGCTATATAAAGGCGTGTACTTGCACGGGTAAGTTTCTGTCATAGGCTGTGGTATCCATTACGAACTTCAAATACCAAATTTGAAAAAATTCCGGTGAATTATGTCGCTAAAATCATCAAAATACCGAATATCGGGAGGTATCGTTATATGGGAGCTATAAGAAGGCGTGGACCTGCACAGATAATTTTCTGTCATAGGCTGTAGTATCCATTACGAACTTCAAATACCACATTTGAAACAATTCCGGTGAATAATGTCGCTAAAATCATCAAAATACCGAATATCGGGAGGAACCATTATATGGGGGCTATATGAAGGCGTGGACCTGCACGGATAATTATCTGTCATATGTTGTAGTATCCATTACGAACTTCAAATACCCAATTTGAAACAATTCCGGTGAATAATGTCGCTAAAATCTTTAAAATACCGATTATAGGGAGCTACCATTATATGGGGGCTATAAGAAGGCGTGGACCTGCACGGATAATTTTCTGTCAAAGGCTGTGGTATCCATTACGAAATTCAAATAACAAATTTGAAACATTTCCGGTAAACAATGTCGTTAAAATCATCAAAGTACCGAATATCGGGAGGTGACGTTATATGGGGGCTATACCAAAACGTGGACCTACATGGACCATTTTCAATACCAAAAGTCCTGCAGACATATTATACATTTGAGTAAAATTTTATCAACCTACTTCGTTTCGTTCGGAAGCTAGAGTGATTTCCACAGACGGATAGACGGGCGGACATTGCTAAATCGACATAGAATTTTATGCTGATATATATACTTTGTGGGGCCTAAAATGTAAATTTCGAGGTGTAACAATCAGAATGACAAACTTAATATACCCTCCATACTATGGTGGAGGGTATACAAAATTTAATTAAAAGATTGAATATTTCAATTTCTACTAATGACTTAACAGTGAAAAACAACTATCTCTGGTCTTCTCTATAAAATACCATTTAATTGTCTTAAAAGTCTCCTGTCTATAAATACATTTTGAAATTCATCTTGTCTAAAATAACCGTATAAAGACAATCTTTTTACAAACTTCTCTGGATATAAAAACATTTGGTGTTCCTCGCTCCACATAGAATAGAATATCATTTTAAAACGTTGGTCTAGACATAGAATACCATTTAGAAACTTTGGTCAATTTGGAAATCTTTTAAGTCATCGTCTCTAAAAGGAAGCTTTATGAAAAGGAAAAGTTCTTTAAAATACCTCTAGAATGTATTTCACCGAATACCTTCAAGGTGCTTCCTTCTGTCTTACACTTATAAAATTCATTCCTATCAAAGCTATCGCTAAGGTCTACATATAAATACACATCTTTCATTTGCATGTGAAATCTAAGAACATATTTAAAAAATATATTTTTATTATTTCTTAATTCTTTTTCCTTCCAATTTGAGCTTCTATACTACAATTTTAACATTAATATTATTTCTTTTTTGTGTTTAACATTTACTGATATAAGTATACTGCTGTTTTCTTAATTATTTAGAATATATTTTATGCAAATTAGGAATAAAATGTTGTTATAAAAATTAACTGAGATACATTGAGATAAATCTAAAATGGTAGATATTTCGTTGCCAAAGGTAAAGTAAATATTTAAAATAAAGGCATATATGCATTTGATAAAAAAGTTAATATCTTCAATTCCATATTTGTTTTTGGAAAACTGTTAAATTTGAGTGTTAACAAACAAGCATTTCTAAATTATTATGAATACGGCAGTTAAAGTAATTTACAATTATGTTCTCTTTAAGATTTGTGTGTCCTGTTTGCAAACGAGCATAAACATACATACATTTAATATATGTGCTCAATTCAACATTGAAATATTTTTGATAAAAAATCTCTTTAATAAAAATGGTTTCCTTTAGTTTATTCCTCCAGTTTTTGTTTTTTGCATTTTTGTTCACCGCCAAACTCAGCATATTTATCTTCCAGAAACTTGAAAACCGAATCAAATGCTGAATATGAAGTCCACTCGTGTTTGGTATGGCCTAACAAAACAAGTAATTTTTTAAATATACTAGCTTTTACAACAATATTAATTTTAAATACCTGCTGAAACCATTTTAATGTCATCTTTGGATGAACTCAATTCTGTATCCAAAGGTTCACTGCTCGATACCCAATTACATGTTTTGCCCGCAATAATCTTACGTATCTCACCACTTATGCCAAAATGTGCCGAATCCGTTAGAGCAATGGCAAAGACTTTATTTTCGAAAAATTCAGGATATCGTCTAGCCTGTAAGGATAATTAAAACACTTTATTAATATCTACCAAAATATTTTAGTTGATATTTTTTCTTACCAAATCCAAAGTAACACCACCTCCAGCACTATGAGCCACAATAGCCACGGCTTCTGGTTCGCATGCCATTACATATTTCTCCCAAACATGAGCAGCATGAGATGTAGCCGAACTCAAACCCTGTATGGGTTTACGTTTGCCATCAACCAGACGATAATTATCATTGGTATTCGTCACCAATATATCATAACCCAATTCTTGTGCACGTTTTATATATGGTATTTGTGTTCCATGGTCCAGGGAATTATTAATTATAAGACTTTAGGAAGGGAGTGTTTGGGATAAGTTAATTAGAAAACAAAACTGAGGTGACTACAATTCTACTATACAGGGTGAGAGGAAAAAACTACAACCAACTTCAGACTGCTGTTATTTCTATGACACTCATCCGACAGCTATTAAAATTATTCCAGTGACAGCTCATTATATTGTTTACAAGCGTACAAAAGCATTTTGGTGAGAAGTTTCCCGAAAAAAGGTTATTCGTGATGGAGTTCAAGCGAGATGGTGTGATTTCTTGATATTTGGCTGGAAAACCACAAGTGACTATCGTTAAAGCACTCCAGCATTTAAATGTGAATAACTCTTTTGTGTCTCGTACTATCGCTTGTTACCGTGATACTGGTAGCGTAGCCAGACGTCAAGAAAGTGGACGGAACAACAGCAACATCATCAGAAATGGTTCGAAAAGTAAAGAAGCGACTTGATCGAAACCCGCGTCGCAGTGACCGAAAAATGGCTCGTGAACTGAATATCTCACAATATTCCATTCGGCAAATAATGAAAAATGAGCTCGGGGTAAAGTCATTGAAATTCAAAAAAAAGTGAAAGAACTTACACCGCAACAGAAAGAAAATAGACTCAAAAGAGCTAAAGAGTTGCTTCGCTTGGCCGAAAGTGGTGAACTACCGAATTAGGTTTTCCCCGATGAGAAAACAGTCCTTGTCCAGCAGTTTGTAAACAGACAAAATGATCGTGTTTACTTGCCAAAGAGGTCAGCTGAAAATGTGCACCTTCGGTTGGACACCAGATCTTAAGCGCCGGCCATGGTGATGATGTGGGCCACCATAACAGCCGATGGTCGCTCTCCGCCCGTATTAATCGACCGTGACATCAGAATAAATGCCGAATATTATTGTGAAAATATTTTGGAGTTTATATTGAAGCCATGGGCACGCAAACAGGACTCAGCACGCGCCACGCAAGAGTGGTTACAAATTGAGGTTACTCGCTTCATTTCCAGCTCACAATAACCAAAATCTCCGGATACCAATCCAATATGGAGTATTTTGGAAAGCAAGGTTGGCACTAAAAAATACCAAAGTGTCGATCACGTCAAGCAAGTGCTTCGCCGGGAATGGGCCAATATACCGCAGAGCAACATTCGAGCAGCTTTTTAAGGTTTGATTGGCCGTTTGAAGGCCATAATTCGTGCCAAAGGTAACCAATTCGAACAAATCTAAACTTTATCTAAAATTTGGTGCTATTTCCGACATTTTTATACCCTCCACCATGCTATGGAGGGTATATTAATTTTGTCATTCCGTTTGTAACTCCTCGAAATACTCATGTCAGACCCAACAAAGTATATATATATGATCAGCGTAAAATTCTAAGACGATTTAGCCATGTCCGTCTGTTTGTCTGTGTGTCTGTCCGTCTGTCTGTCTGTCTGTTGTAATCACGCTCGAACAAATTGAGATAGAAGGCTAAATTTTTGCAGACATGTATATTTTGCCAGTAGGCAGGTTAAGTTCGTAAATGGGCCATGTAGGTCCAAGTTATCATATAGCCCCCATATAACGGTACCTCCCGATATTCGGTATTTTGATGATTTTAGCGACATTATTTACCGGGATTGTTTCAAATTTCGCAGCCCATGCTAGAAAATTGTCTGTGCAGGTTCACGTCTTCGTATAACCCCCATATAACGGTACCCCCTATATTCGGTATTTTGATGATTTTAGCTACATTATAAACAGATTAGCTACATTATAAACAGATTTGTGATAACTTATGACAAAAATTGCCTATGCAGGTCCACGTCGTCGTATAGGCATTCGATATTTTTAATATTTTAACAGCATTTTTAACGGATTCTATTTTTTTGGAAATTGCCAAATTTGTACCAAATGGTGGAGGGTATTAAAAGTTCGGCCCAGCCGAACTTACAGCTTTTTTACTTGTTTGCTTTCATTTTGACTTCGTTGCAGTTTTTTTCTCTCACCCTGTATGAGATATACTAGAAGATTACCTACTACATGCGATATATTAGAAGATTGCCAAACTTTTTAGATCTTGTGGTCCGATATGGGAAAATTTTCTCCCTGTCTTCCGTTAAGGGAAACTTTTAAAGGTAGAATTGCAAGAACATATTCTGGCACTTATTGGAAGAATATTTGACCTTCTATTATATGCCCTCCTGACCTTTCGTTAGAGAACCTACTGGCCTTATATCAGATCTTAAAATATTTTATTAAACATATTTGACCACACGTTAGAATTTTAAACCTACTATTAGAAAATCTTCGGTCGTTTTATCAAAAGCCCTTTTATTTCTCCTAGCACAACTTCTGTTGCTTAACACCTCCAAGGCGATCGTCTATGAGAAATTTTGTTGGTTTATAATTGGCATCATTCAGGTATTTTATTATATGTTCTGACCTTTTTATGCGATATTCTAGACTTCCATTCTTAGTGTTGTTACATTTTGCTGTAAAACAGAAGATGTTCTGGCCTTATATTAAAAAACATTCTGGTCTTTCATTGCAAGATTTGTATGGCCTTATTTTAGAAGAACAGCTGGTGGTATGGGTAAAACGTTCTCACCTTTTGTCAGAAGCCTTTTATATTTTCTATTTCAATATTGTTTAAATAGCTTCGGACCTATAGAAAACCTGTTGACATTTCATTAGATCTCCTCGCCTTACATAAGAATTCTTGGTCAAAATCCTTTAAGATATTGAAGCAGAAGAACATCTAGTGTTCTCTATGAAATCCTTCTCTTTGGCCATCAGTAAGAAATCATATCGTTCCCGCATAACAGACTTCCTGGTCTTTCCTAAAAAGCTTTTATTTTTCTAGAAGTCATTCAAGTCTTCCAGGAAGAAAAAAATTTGGTCTTTGTCCAAAAAACCTTCTTGCATTGCATTGGACTCTTGTCTTCCTTAAAGATATTACAATTCTTTTTCCTGGAAAAAATTCTATTGATTGCGAAGTACTCCTACGCATCGAATATAAAATGTTGGCCATGACAAAGATAAGCACGAACATACACGGTGAAAATGGGTGAGTGTAACGAAAAAATTTGGCACAAATTTTCAATTACAAATAGCAATAATTGATGCTAACAATTACTCTACGAATTGTTGTCCAAAACAAGTAATACGCTAAAAACAAAACACCCACTCACAAACATTCTCACCTTCTGGCCCATTGACCGGCGCGAACATAACCACTGCCATGTATAATAACAATCAATTTTTTCGGTTTATCCAATTGTTCTGGCTTGGTGAAGAAAAATGTCGCTTCATCGGCTGGCACCTGTTCAGGAATGTATGTTCGTGTCAAACCGTTCTGTTCCAACAAGTCATAGACAATTTCGGGTATTTGCTAAACATTTGCATTTTTGGAAAAATAAAAAAGAGGTGGAATTTGGTTAATACATCATTTTAACAAAAAAAACAGGACACTTCATCACCCTACTTACATCAGCCAATTTCTCATAGTGGGCCTGATTCTTGGCATGATCCTTGAAAACATCAAATTCGAATGGCTCATCAGTTACTTCTCCAGTATTCTTGTCAATTTTACGTAATTGTCCAGCTAAATGTGGGTGGTAAAATCAAATTATAGTAATTATCTTTGATTGATGGCCTGCCTTCTGCGTTTTTGGCAACCTTACCCGAATTGAAAGCATAGCCAAATTCCTTTAACTTCTGCAGAGCTTGGCCACTCTTAGAAGTGGGACTTGTTGAGCCCGATGAACTCATATCAACAGACATTGTTTTCTGATTGTTTTATTTGATATAATTTTGTTATCCTTTCTTAAACAAAAATACTTGCTTCCTTTACCTTCAACGTTCTTGTTGATGTCCTCCAAATGGAAAAGGATTTCCAACAACTTCTTAACAACTTTGACATTTAGTTTGTTGTAGAAGATATGGGAGATGTGGTAACCCTGCGATAGGTATGTCGATTAATCGAATAATCGATTTTGGCAAACCACAATGAAAGACGTCCCTAACGAAACGAATAAAAAGGCCCAAATGGAATACTTAATAAAAAATAAATAGAAAGCAAAATCCCCGAGAGACCTCTGTTGTTTACGAATGAGTGTAATGCATAACCCGAGGGACCTCTGTTGTTTACGAATGATACATGCAGAAAACTAAACACATTCACTAAAAGAGCGTGGAACTAGCTACGGGAGACGTGGTAACCCTGCGTTTATTTACAGCTGTTACATATGGCGGTGAAGCAAGAATTAGTGGAAACGTAAACAAAATGACGTAGTGACGTAAACAAAGTGACATTTTTCGTTCATCCAGTTCACGTACTTCATTTAACATCTTTTGCTCATCCAAGCCATGTGGCAACTCAACGTTTTTTACAGCTGCTACCGACGGCGGGAAACCACAGTTAGTGGAAATGTAGACTAAGTGACGTAAATTTATCCCCAAATATGAATCGTTGAATTTAAAATGAACATTTTAAATATTTTTTCAAAGTTATAAGGCCACAGAGGGTTCCATAAGGTGGGCTTATGTTTAAGACTTTTGCAACTCTATTCGGAGTTTTGATAAATTGGATTAATTTTTTTCTAGAAGAAAAATGCTGGGATGTCTATTGTGAGACATACAAACAGGGATATCTCAATTAAATAGAATCAAGTTAGAAAGAAGTACAAACGTGGGGACCAACAACGCGGTCTTCTTAAACATATGCCCAAGGGTTTCAAAAATCTATCAAAATTTTAAGAATATTTTCAATGTTTTTCAAAGATCTATCAACTTGGAATTCCCAAAGCTATTCAAAAATTTACTTTTAAACCTCGTCTTAAATTTTTAAAACCATCCACCATAAAAAAATCTATCAAATACTATTTAATCTCATTCAAAACAATAATTAAAAAAAATCTCATCAAATTCAATTAAAAATTTCGATTTATTTTACAACAAGGTTAATCACAGATTGGTAAAACTACAATAAAAAAACATAATATTAACAATTTATTGAATATCAAAATCGTTGAAGCCACCTCCACCAAATGCCACTAAGAACTACTCGACGAACTTTGTGCAGACAGAGCAGCACTTGCACTACCACTGCTGGCAGCAAATACTTGTTTCAGATTCTTAAAGAAACCCCAAACGCGACTTCCAATCGACCCAATTACCTCCAAGAATTTCAAATCGGTACTTTCATTTATCATTTCACGTTCCTCTTCCGTTTCAATGGCCGGTGAAGTTTCATTTTCCATCATTTGGCCATGCATAGACAACAAGTGATGGCGTTCGGGCTTAACGTGTTCCGTGTCATTAAGGGCTCCATCTCGTACGCTGTTTACCAAATGGCGTACCGATTCCAAGACCGGTATACTTTGTTTTGAACGCTGCCACATGGTCTCATTTATTTGAGACTCATGTTGTTCATTGGTCGGCATAACGGCGTCCAGGGTATTGGCCTGCAACTCGAAGAGATCATCTGTGTCGGGGTTTTGGAAAATATCATTGTCTTCCACACGTGTTTCCTCCTGAAGAGCGGCATTTTTAGCCACCGTTGCCATCTTTTCCGCTGGCGGTCTTCCCAAGTTGTCTAAATTTGTCTCTAAATTTTGTACAAATCTACCAAAGAGTTGCTGTAGGGCTCCACGCATTTCAGGATTCTCCGCAGTTAGATTGGAATTGAAATTTTCAAAATCAAAGCTGGAGAATTCATTATGATCCCCCGGCTTTTGGGATTTGGCCAATTTACGTTGATGCACATAGCTAACAATGTGTGTTGACTCCTGACTGGTACTTGGGGTGGCTGGCAGAGCTTCGATGTGTTGTGGCACGAGTAGCTGAAAGAAATGTGTGAGTTATATATTAGTATTTTTTTAAACATTTTGAGAAGGGTTTTACTAAGGGACATCTTTATGGCGCCTATGTTACCAGAAATGTCTTTTGAATACATTGGAGGGTTGGTAGCTACTTTGGGGCTTTATGAAGAAGTAAATACGATTTTAAGAAAGGTTAGTTATAAAAGTAATTTGAATTATTTAAGAATATGTCCGTGTCCATACAGGAACCTACAAATGCGACTTTTAGGAATCTCAATGATTTATAAACGTGGCTTTTTAAATAGGTTTTCCAACAAACGTAGATCTTTCATAATTTAATTTATTTAATAATTTTCAAGGCCATAAAACCCCAAATAAACAGGAATTTTGGGAATTTCCAAGGCTATACAGAGATCTATAAACGTGGAATTTTGAGAATATTTCTGGGGCTATAAGCAGATCTTTAAACTACCAGTTTAAACAAACAAACAGACACCTTTTTAAAGATATTTTCAAATCTTTGCTGAAATTCATTCAAGTGGCTATTGATAGCTGACTATCAATGGCTCTGAAATTTTGTAAGATTTCATTTCCATAGAATATTTTATAGATAGGATTGTATAATTGTAGTTGCTCATTTATATGCAATTAAAGAATCTATGAATGAGCTTCGATGTAATCTCACGTTAAAAAAAAAAAAAAAACATTTGTGTCTTTTGAATACAAATATCTGTTAATGTTGGGTGAGGTTGAGTCTAATACGTTAAAAGCGTTGTGCTATAATGTTATTGTATTGCATAAGATTTTGGAAATTTTCTGATTAAAGGAAAACGCAATGTCAAATGAATGGAATTGCAACCCAGAATGAAGGCAGTCAAATTAGATATGGGATTTAAAAATTAATAGGAAGACATAAAATGATAAAAACAAAACAAGTGAAAATATTTAGAGGTGATGTCCACAATGGAGATATATAAAAAGTAGCTAAGTTCGGCCGGGCCAAAATTTTAAAGAACTTAAAAATTTCAAAAAAAAAAAAAAAAAGAAAAAAAAATAGAAAAATAACTCTGACATGATATACGAATTTTTTTTCCATGTTGTTGTAGTACCCATGGTGCAATAAGGAGGTAGAACAGCTTCGTGAAACTACAGAAATACAGCACTGAGACTATGTCCGTTTCCTATCAGACTCATTTAAAATTATATAATACAAGTTGTTTTCATTTTTTCCTAATTTTTAAAATTAGTTAAATAGCATGAAAAATAAACGAAATGCCTGGTAGAACCCATTACGAACTTCAATTACGAAATTTGAAACAATTCTGGTAAAAAATTTCGCTAAATTCATCAAAATGCCGAATATTGGGAGGTACCGTTATATGGAGGCTATACGAAGACTTGAACCTGCATAGACCATTTTATGTCACAGACTATAGTACCCGTTACGAACTTCAAATACGAAACAGTTCCGTTGAATATTGTACCTATATTCGTCAAAATAGCGAATATTGGGGGCTATACGAAGGCCTAGACCAGCATAGAAAATCTTTTGTCATAGGCTGTAGTATCCATTACGAACTTTAAATACCAAATTTGAAACAATTCCGGTAAAAATGTCGTTAAAATCACAAAAAAATAAAAACCGAATATCGTGCCGTTATATGGGGGCTATACGAAGGCGTGGACCCGCACGGATAATTTTCTGTCATACAGACAATTTTTTGTCATAGGCTTTAGTATCTATTACGAACTTTAAATACCAAATTTGAAGGAATTCCGGTGAATAGTGTCACTTAGATCACCAAAATACCGAAAATAGGAAAGTACCATTATATGGGTGCTGTACCAAAACGTGGAGCTACATGGCCCATTTTCAATACCAAAAGTCCTACAGACATAATATACATTTGAGTAACATTTTATCAACCTACTTCATTTCGTTCGGAAGCTAGAGTGATTTCCACAGACGGACGGACATCGCAAAATATGTACACCTCAAATATTTTGAGGTGTTACAAACGAAATGACAAAATTAATATACCCTCCATACTATGGTGGAGGGTATAAAACACAATTATAGAACAGTATAACAAACAAAATATTTAGTAAACCAGAAATTTGGGCTCAACATTTTATTCCATAGACTTTTTGGTCAGTCTCTGACTTAAAATGGTCTAACTCTCTGTTATAATTACGTAACAACAGAATTAGATCCACCTGAGACTCAATTCTTGTTTCATGAAAATAAAAAAATCCTTGTGTGAAATGGAAAAAGGAAAGAGGGGTCAAATAAAGAAAATTATTTTCCACTTCCGTCCTTCATAGAGTAAGAATTCAGCATCTGGTGTCAATATTTTGAGTATGTTATATCCTATATTTATACTTCTATGTCTTATATTCTTGGATTGATACTGGAAAATGTTTTATTAGTCCAATATAAAGTTCTTGTTGAAATTAGGTTAGCTTATCCATACTACAAGCACTCAAAGCCTTATATTGGCTCTAAGTTCCATTTGAGGAAAAACCTTCACTTTTTGTAAGATGCTAGGGGAATAGTAATTAATATTTGAATGTTCTTAATCCAATTTTTTAAATTTTTTTGAATTTTTGAATCACGAATGGTAAAAATGGCAAAACTATCCCATTATTGCTAGTTCTGTTCCCAAAACTTAGTAAAATCTACTTATTTTGCGTTTTTCCGACATGATAATGGAAAAACGGTTATTGTAGTAACATTTCACATTGTTGCAGGTTCTAGAACAGACCAAGGCCATGGAATAGACACTTTTAGGCACAATAATTCTTTTCTTTAACTTTCCTTTTTTAAAATTACGAATGCTTTACATTTTTACACAAATTCAAAAAAAAATTTCCAAATTCTTAAATTTTATTGTCAAAAAGGTACACTTACTCCATTTAACACTACCACCACTGACCAACACAATATTATTCTTAACATTTTTTCTTCTTTTTTTTGGTAACCGTTCAAGGTCATTCAATGCTTAGACATAAAATTATTAAACCAAAAAACTCAAAATGTGTGATGATCGCGACCCACAATTATTATTAAAGTCAAAGTCGTACCGTATCCGCCAAATAGTCAAATCAAACTGACCGCCAACCGTTTTGTTTTCGTCTATTCGAATTCGAACAGAACAGTGAAGAATTCCAACAATGAATTGTTGGTCGGACCGTCATTTTGGATTTGAGCGGGCAATTAATATGCATAATGCGTCCGTTTACACCTCTAAAACGAAATGAGTGATGTGGGTTTGTGCGGGTGTATGTATGTCTGTAAAGTTCATGTTTATTTTGCGCAGAATAGTTTGTCAACGAAACTGCAATAAATTCTTTAGGTCTGAAGTGATGACTAAGACTAAGGATGGATGAATGGAAATGGCTAGAAGTGTGTGGTCAAGGCGTAATCTCTGTTTCGTTGCGAAAAGATTTTGGGGAATATTACGGGAATGAAGAAAGAAAATGTATTTTATTTTGACTGTTCAATTTCGAAATGTTATAGATTTATAGTAAAGGAAGAGGAGGTTCAAAAAATCCATCTGCCGATTATCTATTTAGAACAAGAAAAAAACGTTTAGTTAGGCCAAACATATAATAACCATGCGATAAGGAAAATATTGTTCTGTTCCAGAACCTACCAGTTTCTCACCTTTTTTCGAAAGAGAAAATGGGTTGTCTTAGTAAAAACTTACATTCTTGCAGTTCTGGAACAGAGCAATTTATTAACAAGTAAAAAAATTAAGTTCTGCCGGCCGAACTTTTAATACCCTCCACCTTTGAATAGAAAAATGTTATATGAAAGTATCTGAATTTAAACTGTTCTACTTTAAAGTACAAATCCCAGTAAGACCTTGTGGATAATGCTGTTAAACTTTTCAAAAAACCATAAAGTGGGTGAGGCCTTTGTATGGGCACCATACCAAAACGGGAACCTCTATAGACAACTTTATAGTTCAAGAATTGTGATCTACCAAATCTTCTTAAATACCTAAATTGAAACAATTTCGTAGGTAAATGTGACTAGAATTATCAAAATACCGAATATCCGTAGGTATCGTTATATGTGCGCTATACGAAAACGTGGACCTATACATACTATGTTCCGGCACAAGAGCTAGAACCCATCACTAACTACTCATAACTATTTTCGGACAAATCCGAGGAAAAATTTGCCAAAAATTATCAAAATACCGAATATCGGGAGGTAAGGTTAAATTGAAGCTATGCTAAAACGTAAACCTATACTTAGAATGTTTCACCACTGGAGCTAGAACCCATTGTGACCTACAAATGCTAATTTTTAGACAAATTCGTAGAAAAATGTGGCAAAAATCATCAAAATACCGAATATCGAGAGGTACCGTTATATGGGGACTATACCAAAACGTAGACCGATTTTTAACATCAACTATCCTAGACACAATACAAATTGTTCTGCCAAATTTTGACGCACTACGTCAAATAATGTGGGCTGTATCGTGGTTTCAACAGACAGACAGATGGAAATCGTTAAATCGGTAATAGATCCACTTTAAACGACATAAAATTTAAGGCTGGTTACAAATATAAATAGATGAGACGCCCTTTATACCGTTCTTTAAATGGTCCCCTGCTATGAAAGCCGTATTAAATGCCTATCGCACAAAATTACCTTTCTACCACTACCTATGTATATAAATTCTATGATAATAACGCGTTCGCTATTACTTCGAGCTGATCGACTGCCGTCGTCAAGTTTACAAAATTTGAACTTTTCTGTTCATAACTAAAATAAAACGGGCTTATCCGATAAGAAACAACCGAAAGTTCAGTCCTCTGGATTTACAATGGAGGAAGAGTATGTACTCCAATATTTAAGCCGCAGTGTAAGCACAAAATCATCGGCACTTTTTTACGCCAATGCCTTCATCATCTTCACAATCTCCATGTGGTCTTTCTGGAGTATCCACAACTTGGACTTGTTGTTCAGGGCAATCTTCTTCATTCTTTTGCCTGGTGTAAGATTCTACCTAATGGCAATGGCCTATAAGAATATAAAATTCCAACGTAAGCCCACAATTGTCATACGTCGCGAAGTTGTTACTCGTCTCATTACCCCTCAAATGGGTGATTATAAGAAAGTGACCCGCAAAGAAAAGGAAGACCAACCCTTATAGAAAAATAACGTAGCTGACTGTGAAGAAATCATCTATTCCATTTTCTACAACAATGCCTTGTTTTTGCCCATCACCTTCTTCATTAGATTTTCCTTGTTGAGGAACTCTGCTCCCTTGGTGAACTACTTATATTCCATTGGTTTGGCTATTGAGGCCTTTGCCCTTTTCTCCACCATCACATAATCCAATTAGTAAGAGAACAGTACTTTGGTAACTCTTTGAGGTCTCTGACGATTATAACACAATTAATATGACCTCCACCTTGCCGGGAATGCACTCATTACAAATATGCAATAATTCAAAAATACTCTACACTTCCTACAACCTTTTCATATTTTCACAGCAACCTAGAATATTTCGGTCATACATTTCAAAATTAATTTAAAAAATTTAAAAAAATTCTACAAATATATTTTTCTTTTCGATTTCGGCCTCTTTTTACAAAATTTTACGTGATTTTTTTCAAATAAATGCTAAACAATGCGAATATTGGCCAATGTACGACCCATTCTAAAGGTAAGGATTCGAAATTAAAGGGGATTTTAAGAAAATTCTCAAATTTATTTTCTATTCCAGTTCTCGAAAGGTATAACAGGAACTTTCTGCCATGGCCATCATCAGTACACATCGCTGGTCCAGGTTTTGCAAAGCAAACGACTATTTAATAATGTCAATATCAATGGCCCCAGGGAGTTGACGACGTTAAAATGTAAAGAAAATTCATGGAATGAGACTCCAAATAAATATTTGGGTATAAGGACACATATGCAAGATGTTGGTGGGGTTACGAAGGCAATATCGATGTCAATAAGTCCCCGGGAATTAGCCAAGAAGACAGCTAACATGATAACGCCTAAACTTCCTACCAAAGAAAATGGTAATCATTCAAGGGATATGATTCTAAAATCATTAGAAATGAGTAAAGAACATATCCAAGCACTTACAAATTCAAACAACAACATTATTCTTTTGGAAATTGAGACTGTAGAATTGAATGGCTTCTTACAAAAATATCACAAATACTACGCCGTTCTCCACTTTAAATCGGGAGATCGAAATTTATCCCATTTTGAGGACGAAATTATGGTAAAGACGCTTTTTGGAGCATTTGGTAGACATTACGAACAACAGCACGCCAGATATTTGGACATGAAAAATCACGATAATACAAACCATTATAACCTCAATTTTTCACGGGGACGAAATTTGCTTCCAATTGGAAACTGGAAAATTCATATATTTGCTTGGAATCATAATAGGAGCTTTGAGATCTTAACTAAATCCTTAAAGCCCTCTCGTCATTCAAAAATAAATTCAAATTTCCTCCAAAATTGTATTCCATTTGGTTACAGAACAGACGGAATGTCAAATAACAAAGCCGGCCCTGGAGTTACATTTCGCAAATATTCCACAGATTCATCTTCAAATAAATTTGCACCCCAACGCCATATTCCCAATGACGTTACCAAATCTAAAATGGTTTACTACAACTCCCCATTTGTCTTGGAACTATTAGGCGGTCATAAATATCCCCTTAGTCATGATACCTATCCCAAGGCTGTCGAAGAGGCCAACAGGCGAAGGGCGGCCTTAAAGTTCGCACACTCCAAGAACAATATCTTAGCTAAAAAAGAGTCAGACATAACTTCCAATATTGACCCCAGTAAACCAGTGAATCTCCTTGGCGATAAAGGCAACAATACAACAAACCCTCCAACCAGCCCTTCAAAAATAAGAGATAAAGGCAAACACCCAAGGAAACAAGCTCCAACGGGTTGTGTTTCTCCAAAATGTAAAAAGGAAGATCCATGTTCCAACCTAGGACCCAATAAAAATAAAAAAGTTGCGGACAAGGGCAATATATTGGGGACTGATTCCACGCACCCCTTAGCAAGTTTAGGATTTAGAAATGTACCATTGAATTTATCCAGTAATAAAACCGGAAGTGGCCTTTGCAATGGCTGCACTAGTTTTAGTGGCAAGGACAAAAATAAGCCTGGAAGCAATCCACCCAAACCGGGAAATTGTTCCAAAGATAAAGGAAAATCCAAAAAACCAGGATCATGCAGCGAAGACGATAAGCCTTATCAGCCGAAATGCAACAAAAACCCCTGTGACGGTGATGGAGGAACAAAACCCCAATCACCCTGTGCCAAAAAGAAGGAAGATCCCAAAAAGGGTCCCTGTGGAACGGAAAAGAAATTAGATGGCAGCAGCAAACAACTCAATAAGGGACCCCCTAAACCATCAGGACAAAATGAGAAAGGCCAAACAGGCCAATCATGTGCCCAAAAGAAGGATAGTCCATGCTCAAAGAAACCAAGCCCCTGTGACAAGAAAGACAAATCCAAGAATGATCCTTGTGCCAAGAAGAAGGATCCTTGTGCCAAGAAGGATCCCTGTTCTAAGAAAAAGGATCCCTGTGCCAAGAAGAAGGATCCCTGTTCAAAAAAACTCAGCCCATGTGGCAAAAAAGACAAAGGCAATCCCTGTACTAAGAAAGAAAAAGATACTTGTTCGAAAAAGCCCAGTCCATGTGCCAAAAAGGATAAACCTAAAGCCAAACCTTGTGGAACAAAGGACAAAGCAAAACCTTGTGGTGCAAAAGATAAACCCAAATCCGAGAAGCCATGTGCTGGTCCTTGTAATAAAAACCCACAAAGTCCCTGTGGAAAGAAAGACAAACCAAAGTCGGATCCATGTGCCAAGAAACCTCCCAATCCATGTGACAAAAAGATAAGACCCCAAACGGAGACCAATCAATTTCCCTGTACCAGACAAAAAGAAAAGAAAAAGGGCAACACTTGTGGTAAAGAAAAAAAGAGTAAATCACCCTGTACAGGACCCTGTGCAGAGAAGAAGAAACCAAGCAATCCCTGCAAGAAAAACAATCCTTGCAATAAGAAATCAAGTCCATGTGGCAAAAAATCAGATCCATGTGCAAAGAAATCCACTAGCAACTCAGGATGTTCTCAAAACCAACATCCTTGTGGTAAAAAACCTCGAGATACTAAGCCCAAATGTAAACCAAAAGGAGATCAAAACAAGAAATGTTATTCCACAGTTGCCGGAAATGTAATAACTCCCAGTCCGTCGACATTAAATAGGAATTTCCACTGCTTTAGTTTCACACGTCGTTATAGCGATTCAAAGAGTAAAAAGGGTGCAGGTGACAGCAAATGCAAGTTAATTCAAACCAAAATGCCTGCCCATCGTCAAATGGAAAAATATCATCAGAGACAACGTCCCAAAGATGGCCTACGTTCGTGTTATCCAGCCTACGATATGGATTGTCCCAAAAAACTGTGTAAGGATCCCCGGAAAACTGCCTGTTCAAGATTTAATCATTTGAAGGGAGAACATAAGAATAGTGGTGGGAAGAAATAGGCAAGAGATTTGGACTATAGGATTGGCGAAATTGGATTTCAAAGCAATATTTAAAGAAATGAAATCGGAGTGGGATGTTAGAGGTATATAAGTCGTCTAATATGAAACCTTTTCCAACTATACCGCCAGCAAAACTTAAAATCGGTCTGCAAATATTGGCATATCAGGTTCAGCGATTGGAGAGCACATTAAAGCCCAAAAACAAAAGGATCTGAAAATACGTTACACGGATGATCTATGATTATGCCATCCCGCCCATTATCCCATAAAATATTAAGGATTCCGTCTAAACTGCCTGTTCGAGATCTGGAAAAAAGATTGAACCCCAAATAATTTATTAAAACTATTCTTTTCAGCAAAAGTCTTTCCTTGGAAATTACAAGTTATTGTGGGAACGAGACTCTGCCAAATCAGAATCCATGTGATATAAGAAAGTAATTTTGAAACGACAGGATATTGTATGCAAATGAAGGACCTATCTAAGTTTGAAAAAAACGTTTATTTCAAAATTCTGAGTGGATAATTATTAAAAAGGTCAATATTTTAATATTTCCATTGTTTAGAAAATAAATTACATGTATATATTTAGAAAATATTATTTTTTTCTTTAAATCTTTAACATTCCATAGAGGGAGATCGGTTTGGCAGATCTACTAAAGATAGGACATCGATTCACAAGTCTATCGTTAAGCTGTCTTCTTTCTTTTTAAAATAATTTATTTAATTTATTTAGAAAATATTTTATAAATATGTCCTTTAAATTGCCTCCGATAGATTAAGATTAAGGGTGCTTAAAGGGTTCCTTAAGGGTGCCTTTAAAAAGAAGACCCCCTAAATTATAATTTTTTATTTAGGTATTTATTAATGTTATCTCTTATTTATATGTATTTATTTATACATTCCTTTGGTCTACTTTTGATATAGAAATTGAATGGGTTTCTAGAAAGTCTTCCATGGATAGTTCTTCTATAAAGAGAAATTAAGGATAATTAAAGATAGACCAAACTTTCAGCTACTAAAAGAGCTTTCTGTTTTCGAAAGAGAACTTTCTATGATATATTTATTTATTCATTAATGTGTAAGCTTTTTTATTCATATTAATTTATTTTTTATTCTTTTATTTATTAATTTTGATTAATTTCCAACATTTTCTATTGTCCAACAGATGGCGCTAGATACACAGTATAATTGTTTGGTTATATGGCAACCCCTGGCAGTCTTTCTCGAGTGTAAAAGAGAGGAAAATGTACTTTCTCTCTTTCATTACTAATTCTTACCGTTTTTGATCATTAAAAACCTATACTTTTGACGTTTTCCTGTTCCTTCATTCGTAAATAACACTTCATTTTGTTCGTATTCTACTGCACGTGTTACATTCTGAGAGAAAAATATAAAATAATTAATTTTTATATAAATAAAGAAACATTCGAACTTTGAATCATGGGAAAGCTGAATGTAACCGTGTTGCGTTATCTAACGAAGGAGGATTTTCGTGTTCTAACAGCCGTAAGTAAAGGAAAACTTGATTTCAAACTACAACCCACCCATATTTTGTTTTTCTTGCTTTCCAGATTGAAATGGGCATGAAGAATCACGAACTGGTGCCGGGACCATTGGCTGCAGCCATTGCCAATTTAAAGGCGGGAGGAGTACATAAAATCCTCAAGGAATTGTGCAAACACAAACTGTTGTCCTATGAACGTGGCAAGAAGTGTATGTATTCCATTTGTTGCCAAAACAAACAGTGAATTATTAACTCCTACTTTTCATTTTGCCCTTTTTGCAGATGATGGTTATCGCCTAACCAACACTGGCTATGATTATTTGGCCCTTAAATCGTTGACTCTTCGCGGCTCCGTATCTTCGTTTGGCAATCAAATTGGTATTGGCAAGGAGTCCAATATTTATGTTGTGGCCGATGAGGAAGGCAAACCAATTTGTTTGAAACTACATCGTTTGGGTCGTACATGTTTCCGTAACGTCAAGTCCAAACGTGATTATCATGGACGTCGCCATAAGGCATCATGGTTGTATTTGTCTAGGATTTCGGCCACACGAGAATTTGCCTATATGACGGCATTGTATGATCGTGGTTTCCCGGTACCAAAACCCATTGATTTCAATCGTCATTGTGTTCTCATGGAATTGGTTAATGGCTGGCCAATGTGAGTTTAGAAACAGATTGTCCAAGGGGTTAAAATAATTTATAATTTTATTGTTTTTTCTAGGACCCAAATCCATGAGCTGCGCGATCCCGAACAAGTCTATGATGATTTAATGAATTTGATTGTCCGTTTGGGTAACTCTGGTGTAATTCATGGTGATTTCAATGAATTCAATTTAATGCTGGCCGATGATGGCAAACCAATTTTGATTGATTTTCCACAAATGATGTCCACATCCCATGAAAATGCTGAATTGTAAGTATGAATCAGATTAGAAAATTACTTTTTATTGTGTTTTAGTTTTCTTCCAAAAAAGGACCAAAATATGGATTGAGATTTTCTGTTCACGAGTTAAAAGGCACAAAGTTCTTCAATATTTTAGTGTTTCCAATGGGTACACAACTATGTAACTTAATGGACAACCCTTTTACGATCCAGTATAGATTCAAACCCCTTAAAAGGCTTTCTACAGACATAAAATACTTAGAACTGATTTTTAGTGAATTTTTTGGAAAGGTTTTTTGAAATAGAAGACCTATAAATGACCATAGATTGAATATTGAAGTATATATTAAATTGCCTCTTTGCATAGAAGTTTTTTAGATTGTGAAAGAAAGGTCTTCTGAAAAAGGTGAAAAAGGTCTTCTTGGATACATTTGAGAATAATTCAAACTTATACATTTTTCATTGTAAAGCGCTCCTGTTTCCATTAGCTGCTCAACTATACAACTAAATGGACGGCAATTTAAACGAACCAGTATCGACACAATAGTCATTTAAAGGCTTTCCACAAACAGAAAATCTCGAGAATGGTAGAAGAGTTTGTAGGTCTTTTATGAATAGAATACCCTTAAAAAGTCCATGGACAGAATTTCATTCGAATATACATCAAATGACTTTCTTGGGATAGAAGAGGCTCAATGATAATTAGATTATAAAAATCTCAACAGGTATGAGGTTCTTAAAATATCTTCAAGGATACCTTTAAGAATTCTTAAATATCAATTTTTCATGACAGCTTCTGTAGATGAAAGACTTTTTAGAGGTACTGATTTCTTTAGACAAAGAAGAATCTGAAAATCTTACGATGAACCTAATTTCCCACGTTTGTGTTGTTTGAAACTAAGGAAAATCATGATCCTGATTTTCTTCGAATAGGAAAAACATTTGTCTTAAAGGTCTAAAGGACTCTCTTTTTTTGCTATCCAAAAATATCCAATTTTCATAAATTTTTAAACTAACCCCACACTTCTTGTTTTTTTTTTCTCAGTTTCTTCGAACGTGATGTTAATTGTGTACGTGAACTCTTCCGTCGCAAATATAACTATGAAAGTGAAGATTATCCCAAATTCTCAGATCTGAAGAGAGAAGATGATTTGGACACAGAGGTTCATTGTACTGGATATGGTTTTACCAAAGAAATGGAAAAGGATTTGCTACAGGTATTTCAGGAAAAAATCAGCTAAAATATATTTCTAATAACAAAGTGTTTCTTTTCTCCCCAAGGAATATGGCATGATTGAAGAGTCCGATGAAGAAGAATATGAAGATGATGAAGATACAGTACCCAAATTGGTAGATGGGGAGAAGACAGGAAACAACTATACAAACGATGAGCTCGATGAATATCGCCAACAGTTGGAAAATGAAATTAGTTTTAGTGAAGTGAAAGCCTCGAGCAAGGCAGATGATTCTATAAGGAAGTACATTGAATCGTGCACACAATATTTGGGTAATATTAAAATTGGACCTGAGGTTGATATACCAGAAAATATACCAACACCCAAATTAATTGTGGAACAGCAAATGGCAAAGAAAGAAAAAATAGAAAACACAGAAACCAAGGAGGAAAACACCACAACTGCCAACGAACCCACGGCCAATGATAACGATTCCAATAAGGCTGATCATGATTCGGACGCCCATTCAATGAGTTCCAATGATTTGGAAACTGATAATGTTCCCGAATTGGCTGACATAGATCCCAATTCACGTATGTATCGTTTGAAAATGGTCGAAAAACTTTTGAATGATGCCCGTTCACAACGTTCATATTCCACGACTGCCAGTACCATTGCTCCCTCCGTTATTACGGATCGTATTAAACGTAATATGGATAAAAAGGAGAACATTGAAATGCGTAAACGTTGTGTGGCCAAGGGTGAGGCGAGTGCCGTACATCGTCATCGTAAAGAGAATAAGAGTGTTGTCAAAGAATATGCTGGCTGGGATTTTTAATAATGTTGATATATTCTGCTTATTTTTAGTTTGTAGGAAAATTTGTATAATTGTATTAAGAAAATGAAAAAAAAAAAACGAAATATTTTTTGGAATAAAAGCTTATTTTTACGAAAATAAAATAATATTCATAAACTAAATTGAATGGTGGTTTGCATTTTTTTCGTATAATAAATCCGAAAAATCGGTTAATTAGCAATATTTTTACATTCTTGGAGGTTCTGGAACACAGCATTGGTACATAATATTTGACACTGGCATAATGTATATGTGTGATAATTATTTCATCTAAACCTTTCTGTGGTAATGTTTTTGATTTACCCGGTTATGAGTGAACATCTGTAACATACATATTTACATATGAATGTGCATAAAGTATGTTTTATATTTGAACTCATTTGTTAAAAATACCGTTATAATTTCCGCTCATAATTGCAATGAGTAATTTGAGATTAGTTGCGATGAGAAGCTCTTGGATAGAACTTTTCATGAAACATATTTTTAAACAAATTATTTTCCTTTTTTTTAATTTTTTATTTTAATGTTGTACATAATTAGTTAATGTTTTTTTTAATATGTTTAAATTAGTGTTAATTGTGTTTTTTGTGGTATTACAATGCCACAGCTTTTCGGTGTTAACAAGCCAAAGGGATGGCTTGCAGTTGGATGATACAACACCAGCATGGCCAAGTGATAAGATCCAAAAAGAATCAACCATTTTGAATAAACCTCAAATGGTTGAATATGAAGAGGATTCAAACGGTAAGATGATGGGAATAGACAAACGGACATGGAACACATACGTCGATCGGAGTGAAAAAATAAAAAAATGGAGGCCATAAAATGATATTATACTTATATGTTGATCGGCGAAATTCCAAGCTTCTTTTGTTCAATTTTAGTTAGCCGCGATTTGGAAATGTAAAATACAGTTGGTCATGAAAATAAGGATAAATGGATCAGAGAAATTTCAAGTTCTATCAAAAATATGATATATTATTAATTGGTGTAGAACTGCAAGAATGTGAAAAAAACTAGTAGAATCTTGCAGGTTCTGGAACAAAGCATATGTTGTATTTACTAATAATTGTAATTACCAATAGAGAACTAAAGCGATTTGGGAATGGGGTGACATTCTATGCCTTGATGTTACTCGACAATTAGCTTTGCTTGTGACACAGAGGTATTAGACAGTTTTTTTCATTTCCGTGAAAGCAGCTGATTTTTTACTTTTTATCCATATATGCCGATCTTGCCACGATAGAAAAGTTAAAATAATGTTGAAGCGGGAAGAGGTTGCTAATTCTTCTTCAAGTCTATAAAAACATAAATAATGGGGACATGGAAATGAGTCTACAAACCTGTCTCCTTTAAACTGATACGATACGGTACGATCTTTTCTGTTGCAAAGATGATTGTAGTATTTATACATTGGTCCCCCGGTATTATATTTTTGTACCCTACGACACCATGTGTTGGGGGTATTATAAGTTTGATTGGGCCACAAATTTTTGTAACACCTCGAAATATTGATTTCTCACATAGGAAAGTATATATGGATCTTCTTATCTCGCCTAGCTGATCTAGCTATGTATGTCCGTCCGTCTGTCCATGTTAGTTTTTAATCAAGCTACAGGTCGCAACTATGGCCCGATCCTCACGAAATTGAAAATGGAGGTGGGGTTAGAGTCAGAAGAGAAGCATATTGTTTTTGGAGAATAATGCAAAATATTGAAGGGTTGAAGTGGACCAAAAACAGAAAAAATCTTGACTTTGCCGTTGCTCTACAGGCCATAATTATTGATTGATGTTAGTTATTCCGCTTATAAGTCAAGAACCGCTAGACGATTTTCACCAAAAATTGCGTAAAAATTTGCGCACAAAAAATTTATCCCGCACGTTTTTTTATAACTTATGTATCTTTCATTCTTATCCTTCCAGCCAATCCCAAAACCCATCCAACAATGACGGCAAAATGTGATCCCTGCCCTGAGGGTGTTATGTGTGTGCCACAAATACAATGTCCAGCCCATGTACGAATGCAGGATCATGAAAAGCCACAGATATGTGATTTACCAGGTGGAAAATTTGGCTATTGCTGTGTAACGGGTCAAAATCATACAGGTGAGTGGTGAAATGGTTAAAATATTCAAATTACACCAAAGGTCTTCGAATATTCGTGTTTGTATATTAGGATGCAACACATACTATCGTCGATAGTTTGCTATGAAATAGAGTCAATCGAATTTTCCAAAAATAAGTATTAAAATCAGAAAGCAGAAGAACGAATTTTTTAGATATACAAAAAACAAAAAAAAAAAAAAAATAGGAAGTCTTCAGAGATGACCTGGATCAATAAGTCAGGGACAAACTAAAGATTATAGAAAAAAGTTTGTAAAACTGTATCAGAGCTGTACAAGACTTTAAGGTTTGAGTTAGGCGGTAAATTAATAAATGTAGAGAGTGAAAACTCTTTGTGTATAAGTCTATAAAGACGGCCTAAAACTGGAATGAACGAAATTTGTTTTAGACATACAAAAACAAAAATCAGAAAATCTTCAGAGGCAACCTATGGATCAAAAAGCTTTCAGGGGCAGGCTAAAGTATGGAGTGTTAATAAGGAATTAAACTGGAGCAGCTGTACAAGTCTTCAGTGACGGAATGAGTGTAATGGTATATAAAGAGTGTTCTGAAGCGGGGAGTACTTAAAAAAAGTCTGTAGAGACAGACTAAAGCTAGGAACGTTTAGAATACTGAAGTCAAGAGGACAATTAGGGAATTTTTTAAAAGACTGCTAGTGTAGGATATTTATACCCTACAACACTATGTGTTGGGGGTATTATAAGTTTGATTGGGCCAGAATTTATGTAACACCTCGAAATATTGGTTTCCCATATAGGAAAGTATATATGGATCTTCCTAGCTCGCCGAGCTGAGTCGATCTAGCTATGTATGTCCGTCCGTCCGTCTGTCCGTCTGTCCGTCTGTCCGTCTGTCCGTCTGTCCATGTTAATTTGTAATCACTCTACAGGTCGCAATTATGGCCCGATCTTCACGAAATTTAGAATGGTGGTGGGGCTTAGGTCAGAATAGAACCCTATTTTTTTGGAGATGATCGCATAATATTTAGGGGTTGAAATGGACCAAATACTGAAAAAATGTCGGATTTTGCAGTAGCTATACAGGTCGCAATTATAGACCAATCTCGGAATTTCGCATGTAGCTAGAGTTTAGGGCGGAGAAGAAGCCTACCAATTTGGGTGGTCATCGGATAATATTTAGCGGGTAAAATAGACCATATCTTTTGTGTTGAAGAAATTCAAAAATTTTCGTTAAACCGCGAATATTTTAAATACCGGCGAAATCACAAAGCCATGACAAGGTTACTTCTGACCTTTACATTGATGTTAACATCCAACAAATCGGATATATAACGAAATATGTGCGATATATCTCTTATATGTCGAGAACGGCTGAACTGATTTCGACAGTTCTCATTAATTCAGAATGGCCTCTTGGCAGGAAAGAAACAACGTCTAAAAAATCGCATAAAAATATCTCTCTAAAGATGAAAATATTGATTTTGTAATATTTTCTCATATTTTTTCCATTTTGTCATATTTTTGGCATATTTTTTCTTTTTGGCATATTTCTACAGCTAACAAAACTAAGTAGTTAGGATATCATATACAGATCGCATTTATGGCCCGATCCTTACGAAATTTTGCATGGGGATAAGATGAGGGTCAGAATAGAAGCCTACTCTTTTTGGAGATGATCGTCATATATTTAGGGGTTGAAATGGACCAAAAAACTGCAAAATTGTAAGCAGGTCGTAATTATCAACCGATCCTCACGCATATTTGAATGGGGGTTACCGGACATTGCAAAAGCCAAGCAGTTTTGGATGGCCATCCAAAAATATTCAATGTGTGAAATAGTTTGCCAACTTTTGTAGACAAAATACGAAAATGTCCATTACAGTGACTTCTTGGAGAATTCACAAATACAGGAAAGACGCACTTCTGACTATTTCGTTAAGGCTGATTTCGTTAAAGAATATAGTCAAATGTCTGTATCTCATATAGATGCGTTTCAGTCAAAAACCAATAATAAATGTTAATCTTTTGCCACTTCTGAGAGATTATAGGTCTTTGGGAAATATTGGTTCCAGATCTAGGAAGACCATTTAAATTAGTTTAAGTTGCTATTGCTCGAAAATTAGAAAAAAAACGAAACCTGATGATTTTCTTTTATTATTTGTCACAATATCTTGTGGAATTCTTTCGAGTATCTCGCCTATATAAACTGTATCGTTTATTATAGTGTTGTAGGGTATTCAACGGTCGGCCCCGCACGACTGTAGCCTTTGCTTACTTGTTTCTACATACAGCGTGTCTTTATAAACGAATTGAAGCAGAAATTGCCTATAGACGACCTAACGTATTTATAGAGGAGTCGATGTTTGTAAAACAAACTGAATCTGAATGGTATTTATAGATGAGCCGGTTAGGGTTATTTAACCTTAAATATCTACAAGTTTTAGAGGTGAGTTGCGGAACTAGACAGAGTTTCTTTTCTCTGCAAGTCTTTAGAGAATGTCTGAAGTAAGGAGTGTCTACGAAGGCTTTAATACACGAGCATAAACTAGGAGTATGTATATGAGTGAGAAGAGAAGTACTGAGTCTGGAAAAGATGAGGTGAAAAAGGAAGTCTCTGTAAATAAACCCAGAAATTAGGGGGTCTTTACATTCTGGCAAGACGGTCTGAGTTAGAATTTTTTTATAGATGAGCTGGGTAGAAATATATATGTAATATATCTATAATTTTTAGAGACGAGCTGACGAGCTACGTAGAGTTTCTTCTTTCCAAATGTTTTTAAAAAATGTCTGAAATAGGGTGCTGAAATAAAAAGTCTAAATAGGTAGGAGGATGTAAGTAATGGGCCTTTATAAGTAGGAACGAGGAAGTAGGGAGATTTTAATATCTGAAGACGAACTGAATTAGGAATTTATTTATGGACGAGCTGGGTAGAAATCTCGGTTAAGTGTTTACAAAATTTTAGAGATGTGCTGCTAAACAAGGTAAGTTTTATTTCCTCGACAAGGTTGAAAGCACGAGTCTGAATAGAAGTGTGAAGAGAAGGGGTGGGCCTACATGAAAGAGATGAAGTATGAAGTTTTTACAAAAGACGATCTGATGGTCTTTAAAAAATATTTTATTTTAGCTCGGTGTAACAGTACCTCCCGATAGTCGGTATTTTGACGTTTTCAGCAACATTATTCACCGGAATCGTTTCAAATTTCGTATTAGAAGTTCGTAATGGATACTACCGCCTAAGACAGAAAATTGTCTGTGCAGGTCCACGTCTTCCTATAGCCCCCATATAACTGTACCTCCCGATATTTGGTATTTTTATGATTTTAGAGACATTATTTACCGGAACTATTTCAAATTTGGTATATGACGTTCGTAATGGATACTACAGCCTAAGACAAAAAATTTTCTGTGCAGATCCACGTCTTGGTATAGTCTCAATATAACGGGTTTTATTTAAGTGGTAGTTTACGGTATTTTTAAGTTCCTTCCAACTGGTGGAGGGTATTAAAAGTTCAGCCCGGCCGAACTTAGTAGCTTTTTTACTTGTTTTTGGCAACATTGGTGCAAAAATTCTTTTGATATACAACCAGTAAGGAAAGCTCAAAAGTCGGGCGGGGCCGACTATATGATACCCTACACCACTATGCATATTTAGTAGAGCTCTCGTAAAAAGATTTATACAGGGCATTTCAGAGCTCTATGAGATATTTGGTACAAAATCAAAATCTATCTAATTCTATCGTGCATTTTACGAACTATAGCTATCTCTGAACCGGGTTTCTCCAAATTTTACGTATTAGCTTCTAGACTGGTGATTTGGGCTGATATTGACCATTTAGTGCACATTTAACCCGAAATCGGATGAAGATATATATGAGAGCTATATCCAAATCTGAACCGATTTCGATAAAATTTAAAACAGCTATTCCTGTGCTCCACCTAATACCTGGTACCAAATATCACGGTTGTGGAGTGAATATTACGAATGTGTGGGACTAAAACTCTAAATCGGATGAAACATGTATATGGTTGCTATATCTATATCTGAACCGATTTTCACTAAATTTGATATACTTGCTTCTAGGCTGAATTTGGTCCGATGTACTAAAATTCAGTCCATTTGGACTTATATCGGCCATTTGGTGCACAATTAACCCGAAATCGGATGAAGATATATATGGGAGCTATATCCAAATCAGAACCGATTTCGATAAAATTACAAACAGCTATTTCTGGGCTGTATCTTATATCTGGTACCAAATATCATTCTTGTGGAGTGCATATTATGAATGTGAGAGGCTTAAACACCAAATCGGATGAAAGATATATATGGGAGCTATAGCTATATCTGAACCGATTTTCTCCAAATTTAATATACTTGCTTCTAGGCCGAACTCGGTTGGGTGTGCCAAAATTCAGGTAATTTGGACTGATAGTGGACATTTGGTGCACATTTAACCCGAAATCGGATGAATATATATATGGGAGCTATAGCTGTTTCTGAACCGATTTTCTCCAAATTTGTTGTATTTGCTTTAAGGCTAATCTCGGTCACATGTGCCAAAATTCGGGCCATTTGGGCTGATATTGGCCATTTGGTGGTCAATTAACCCGAAATCGGATGAAGATATATGTGGGAGCTATATCCAAATCTGAACCGATTTCGATAAAATTTAAAACAGCTATTTCTGTGCTTCATCTAATACCTGGTACGAAATATCACGGCTGTGGAGTGCATAGTAGGAATGTGAGGGACTTAAAGATCAAATCGGATGAAAGATATATATAGGAGCTATAGCTATATCTGAACCGATTTTCTCCAAATTTGATATACTTGCTTCTAGGCCGAACTCGGTTGGGTGTGCCAAAATTCAGGTAATTTGGACTGATAGTGGATATTTGGTGCACATTTAACCCGAAATCGGATGAAGATATATATGGGAGCTATAACTAAATTTGATCCGATTCTCACCAAATTCAATAGGGTTCGTCCTTGGGCCAAAAAATTATTGTTTGGAAAATTTCATCTCAATCGGATAATAAATGCGACCTGCATTTTGTTCACAAGAATACATGGACAGACGGACGGACTGACATGCATAAATCGACTCAGAAAGTGATTCTATGAAGGTTCTCAAAAGTAACTATGGGTCTATCTCGTTTCCTTCTCCATGTTACAAACAAATGCACAAAGACATAATACCCTTACCACTATGTGGTGTAGGGTATAATGAAATAGATATATCTTTTTCGGTGACTTATGGTAAAATTTGATGAAGAATATAATTGTCTATGACATCATCTTTCTAAAATTATGCTTGACTGGAGATTTTTGCACAAAGTACGGATTTAAACCTAAAAAGTGTTTTTAATATTTTTTGAATTCCTGGCGTTTAGATAAAATAGGTATAGAGATTTTGATGAACTTTCAAAACGCCGCTTTTTTGTCCCCTTCTTTTATCTTTACTTTTATCATCTACTGGTCTTTTTCTGAATTTATAAAAAAATTGAATTTTGTTCCACCGTATTATTTTCTGTTATAATCTTCCCAAATTTTCCTGCAAAGTGTATTTATATCGTATTCTCTCCCTCTCTTTTCAGCATCACCCAAAAATAAAGCTCGAATACCGCACATTACATTCATCCCCACCGGTGTCATAGATGAAGCACGTCTTAGATTTCAAAATTTAATGCACCAGATCTCATTCGTTCCCGTTACACGGGGGCAACCGGAATTTGCCCATAATATGGTATTTCATTCCACGCCACAAGAGGATATGCAAAACTTTCAGCTAAGTAAATCGGCCATGGAGCAGGTGATTACCACGCAGGTTTTTACCGAAAAGTAAGCAATGATAAAAAACTTTAAAATTTAGAAATTTTTTATATTTTATTTTTAACTTTAGAGAACACATTCCCGTGGAGGATATCATTACGAATAATATTGACTTGGAATTTAAGGAAACTCCCTTGGAACATCATTGCCATCCGCCCAGATCATGTTTAAATAAACGATCAAAATATCGCACCTTTGATGGTAGCTGTAATAATATTCGGCCACATCGTTCCCATTGGGGAGCTGCTGGACAGCCAATGGAACGTTTGTTGCCACCGGCCTATGAGGATGGTATTTGGACACCTCGCATCCATGCCAAGGATGGTTCATTGCTGACGGGTGCAAGGGAAATTTCCCGTATACTCTTGGGCGATTCGGATAGGCCACATCCTAAGTATAATCTCTTGCTGATGCAGTTTGGACAATTTATTGCTCACGATGTGACGCAATCGAGTTCTGTGAGATTGGGTGAGAGAAGAATTTGGATATTATATAACTTATTTGATTTTTTTTAATAAAAATATTCCTTTACAGAAACTGGCGAGTCCATACAATGCTGTGCTCCCAACAATCGTGCCGTCTTGCCGCCGGAGCGCAGACATTTTGCCTGCATGCCCATTGCAGTGGAGCCCCATGATGAATTCTATGCTAATTTTGGTATACGTTGCATGAACTTTGTACGCCTCTCATTGGCTCCGAATATGGATTGCAGGGCCACATTTGGTAAGCAGCGTAGCAAAGTGACCCACTTCTTGGATGCCTCGCCGGTATATGGTTCCAGTTTGGAGACAGCCAGGGAACTGCGTTTATTTCAAGGTGGCAGGCTTCGCATGTTTAATGATTTCGGTAGGGATATGCTGCCGCTGACCAATGATAAGAGTGCCTGTGGTAATGATGATCCCTCAATGACTTGTTTTAAATCGGGTAAGGAAAACACTTTTCGCATCCGTCAAAGGCCAAATGCCTCACTTTTTCTTTCTCTTCTTTTGGATAGGTGACGGTCGCACAAATCAAATAATATCCCTGGTTGTGCTGCACATCCTTTTTGCACGCGAACATAATCGCATTGCCGGCATACTCAGTCAAATTAATCCACGTGCCAATGATGAGCTACTCTATCAGGAGGCCCGGCGCATTGTCATTGCCGAAATGCAACACATCATTTATAATGAGTATTTACCCTCCGTCATTGGGCCGATGCAAATGAAACGTTTCCGTTTGGTGCCTCAACATCACGGCTATAGCAATGAGTATAATGCCGATGTTAATCCGGCAATAACGAATGCCTTTTCAGGTGCTGCCTTTCGTATGGGCCATTCAAGTGTTGATGGCAAATTTCATATTCATCAGCAACAGTCGCCGCAGCAGCCGCCGTTGCAGCGGGGACATGCCGATGAAATTATCCTTATACCCGATGTCATGTTCAATCCGTCACGCATGAGATTGCGTACATTTTTGGATGATATGATGTCGACAATGTTGCATCAGCCAATGCAAAGGGTTGACAGTGCCATTACCCAGGGGGTAAGTGGTTGGGAATTGCGATGCGATGCCTTAAGACAATTTCAAAAATGAAAAATTCTTTTCACAGCTCAGCCGATTTTTGTTCCGTGGCCATAACCCATTTGGCTTAGATTTGGCTGCCTTTAATATACAACGTGGACGGGATCAAGGACTGCGTTGCTACAATGATTACATGGAGGTGATGGGACATCGTAGAATACAGAGTTTCAGTCAGCTGCCACCGGAGGTAATTTGAAGGGGATAATTAAAAAAAATACAAGTAAAAAAGCTGTAAGTTCGGCTGGGCCGATCTTTGAATACCCTCCACCATCTGGAACGATTTTGGCAATTTTCAAAAAAAAAAAAAAAATCCGTTAAAAATTCTGTTAAAATCTTAAAAATACCGAATGTAGCTATTATTTTAGGGTCTATACGACGATGTGGACCTGCATAGGCAACTTTTGTCATAAGCCATTCAAATGCGAAACTTAAAAAAATCGGTGAATGAAATAAATACCGAATATCGGGAGGTACCGTCATATGGAGGCTATACGAAAACGTGGACCTGCACAGACAATTTTCAGTCATAGCCTGTAGCATCCGTTATGAACTTCAAATACCAAATTTGAAACAATTCCGGTGAATAATGTAGCTAAATTCATCAAAATACCGAATATCGGGAGGTAACGTCATATAGGGGCTATATGAAAACGTGGACCTGCACAGATAATTTTCTGTCTTAGGCTGTAGTATCCCTTTTGAACTTCAAATACCAATTTTGAAACAAATCCGGTGAATAATGTCGCGAAAATCATCAAAATACCGAATATCCGGAGGTTCCGTTATATGGGGGCTATACGAAGACGTGGACCTGCACAGACAATTTTCTGTCTTAGACTGTAGTATCCATTTCGAACTTTAAATACCAAAGTTGAAACAATTTCAGATGAATAATGTCGCTTAACTCACCAAAATGCCGAATATCGGGAGATACCGTTATATGGGGGCTATACCAAAACATGGACCTACATGGCCCATTTTCAAAACCAAAAGTTCTGCAGACATAATATACATTTGATTACAATTTTATCAATCTACTTCAATTCGTTCGGAAGCTAGAGTGATTTTAACAGAAGGACAGACGGACGGGCATCGCTAAATCGACATATAATTTTATGATGATCAAGAATATATAAACTTTGAGGGGTCTAAAATGTATATTTCGAGGTGTTACAAACGAAATGACAAACTTAATATACCCCCTATACTATGGTGGAGGACAGTGTTTTCATAAAACGACCTCAAGAGGTCTTCATTTTTAGAAGTTTTAAAAGGGGTCATCGTTAAATTACCTATATCTACGAAGGACATATTTAAATAACAGGCATTCAAAAGCCTTTTTTATAAAGACGATTTTTTCTTAGAGGTTATCTACAGGACTTCTATATATCTTTAGGGGGTTTATGTATATATTTTCAACCCCTCCGAATCACGGTTATATTATTAATCATCCTTTATCAATTCCAGGTTGGTCGCAAATTATCCCAAGTCTATCGTCATCCTGATGATATCGATCTTTGGGTTGGTGGTCTCTTGGAGAAATCGGTGGAGGGTGGTATTGTTGGCATAACCTTCTCGGAAATAATTGCCGATCAATTTTCTCGTTTTAAGACTGGAGATCGTTATTATTATGAATATAACAGCTCGATAAATCCCGGGGCCTTTACCATTGATCAACTGCATGAGATACGTAAGGTGACAATGGCACGTCTGATATGCGATAATGCCGATCATTTGACCTTGCATGGGGTTTCGCCGGCCGCTTTTATGCGACCCGATTTGACGGGGTAAGTAAATGTGTAATACTTCACACTCTGTTATGAGAGAGGGGTAGGGGAGGAGGATTAGAGAACACCTAACACTTCCTATATTTTATTACAGCAATTCACCGGTCCGTTGTGATAGTGCCCAGATACCGGTAATCGATTTGGAGGCATGGCGTCTTTGATTATTTACCTTATTTTTAAATCTTTGGCAAATAAATAAATAAATCAGTTTTTTTTTTGTTTTTATTTATTATTTAAATCGCTGTGTGTGTTGAATTCATGTTCGTAGAGGTATTTTTCCGCTTTCTTCATTAGCTGGAGATCGTTTAAAATATGTCTAAGAATTCATTTTACATAGGCATGCTAATTACGTGAAGGCAGATTGGAATTAATGGGCGGTGGGACCATGTTTATAGAAGAAATAATTAAAAAACGAAGCAAGACGAAACACAAAGCCCAAGAGTTATTTATTTGATATTACAAAAATAATTCATTTTGTTTATGCCATTCATTTATTTTGTGGATGTAAAAATAATTCAAATATATTTTAAAAACAAAATCCATAGTGTGTTTGCATTGCATTATTGAACGTGAAGGTTGGTTTGGATATATTCAAATGGGTCGAATGGTAGAGTTATGTGAGCGGTTTAGAAAATGTGGATATTTGAAGAGTAATAATTTTCTGTAGGACTTTAAAAGATATTGCTCTAAACCCTATAGAGCAATGCAGGCTATAATCGTAGATTTTCAAAGAATATCATTCAGGGACATCAAAGTTAAGATTGCGGATTTTGTTAACCAATATTTTTAATGGTCATCAAAGCTATAATCGTGAATATTTTAAAGAATGTTTCTCAAGGACCATCAATGATATAATGGTGGATTTTTAAGTATGTTTTCAAGGACCATCAGGGCTATAATGGTGCATTTTTAAAGAACATGCTTCAAGGACCATCAAATCTGTAAAATCGGAATTTTTTAAAAATATTTCTCAGGAAACATCAAGGCAAAAATTGTGGATTTTTAAAGAATATTTTTCAAGGACTATCAAGGCTATAATAGTGGATTTTTATGCATACATACCAAACGACTACCAAATAATGGATTTTTTAAAGAATTTTTCAATTGTTCTAGGGACAAAGGAACATTAATGGTGGATTTTTGAGGAATAGTTTTCAAGGACCAACAAGACTTTAACTTTTCAATTTTTTCATCGTGGATTTTTTAAAGAATATTTTTCAAGGACCATTGAGGCTAGCTATGTATGTCCGTCCGTCCGTCTGTCCGTCTGTCCGTCTGTCCATGTTAATTTGTAATCACTCTACAGGTCGCAATTATGGCCCGATCTTCACAAAATTTAGAATGGAGATGCGGGTAGGGCCAGAATAGAACCCTATTGCTTTTGGAGATGATCGCATAATATTTAGGGGTTGAAATGGACCAAATACTGAAAAAATTTTGGATTTTGCAGTGCCTATACAGGTCGCAATTGTAGACCAATCGACGCGGAATTTCGCATGTAGCTAGAGTTTAGGGCGGGGAAGAAGCCTACCAATTTGGGTGGTCATCGGATAATATTTAGCGGGTAAAATAGATAATATATTTTGTGTTGAAAAAATTCAACATTTTTCATTAAACCGCGAATATTTTAAATCCCGGCGAAATCACGAAGCCATGACAAGGTTACTTCTGACCTTTACATTGATGTTAACATCCAACAAATCGGATATATAGCAAAATATGTGCGATATATATGTCTATCAAAGAAGATATGCTTGAAAGATCTCATATATGTCGAGAACGGCTGAACTGATTTCGACAGTTCTCATTAATTCAGAATGGCCTCTTGGCAGGAAAGAAAAAACGTCAATGAAAATCGCATGCAAACATCTCTCTAAAGATGAAAATATTGATTTTGTACAATTTTCTCATATTTTTTTAAGTTTGTCATATTTTTGGCATATTTTCATTTTGAATTAAACATTTGGTAATATTTCTACAGCTAGCAAAACTAAGTAGTTAGGATATCAGGATATCATATACAGATCGCATTTATGGTCCGATCCTTACGAAATTTTGCATGAAGATAAGATGAGGATCAGAATAGATGCCTACTCTTTTTGGAGATGATCGCCATATATTTAGGGGTTGAAATGGACCAAAAAACTGCAAAATTTTCAGCAGGTCGTAATTATCGCCCGATCCTCACGCACATTTCAATGGGGGTTACCGCACATTGCAAAAGCCAAGCAGTTTTGGATGGCCATCCAAAAATATTCAATGTGTGAAATAGTTTGCCAACTTTTGTAGACAAAGTGCCTTTTTTGGAGAATTCACAGGAAAGACGCACTTCTGACTATTTCGTTAACGCTGATTTCGTTGAAGAATATAGTCAAATGTCTCTATCTCATATAGATGCGTTTCAGTCAAAAACCAATAATAAATGTTAATCTTTTGCCACTTCTGAGAGATTATAGGTCTTTGGGAAATATTGGTTCCAGATCTAGGAAGACCATTTACGTGCAACATCTACCAATAAATTGGAAATGAGCAAATTAGTTGAAAAAGTTGATATTATTCGAAAATTAGAGAACGAAACCTCATGGATTTCTTTTATTATTTGTCATAATATCTTGTGGAATTCTTTCGAGTATCTCGCCTATATAAACTGTATCGTTTATTATAGTGTTGTAGGGTATTCAACGGTCGGCCCCGCTCGACTGTAGCCTTTGCTTACTTGTTTAAAGAATGTTTCTTAAGGACTGTCAGGTCTATTATGGTATGTATTTTTTCAAAGAGCCTCAGGGCTATAATCGTGGTGATTTTAATGAGTGTGTAATCAAGGAGCATTGAGGCTGTAATTGTAGATATTTTAAAAAATATTTTTCAAGGACCATCAGACGTAGATTTTTTAAAGAATATTTTTAAAGGACCAACAAATGTGGAATTTTTAAAGAATATTTTTCAAGGACCAAACGACCATCAATCGTGGATTTTTTAAAGAATATTTTTCAAGAACCAAAGACTATCAAACGTGGATTTTTTAAAGAATATTTTTTAAGGACCAAGTGACACCAAACGTGTATTTTTATAAAGAATATTTTTCAAGGACCAAACGAACATCAAACGTGGATTTTTTAAAGAATATTTTTCAAGGACCAAACGAACATCAAACGTGGATTTTTTAAAGAATATCTTTCAAGGACCAAACGAACATCAAACGTGCATTTTTTAAAGAATATTTTTCAAGAACCAAACGACCATCAAACGTGCATTTTTTAAAGAATATTTTTCAAGAACCAAACGACCATCAAACGTGGATTTTTTAAAGAATATTTTTCAAGAACCATACGACCATCAAACGTGGATTTTTTAAAGAATATTTTTCAAGAACCAAACGACCATCAAACGTGGATTTTTTAAAGAATATTTTTCAAGAACCAAACGACCATCAAACGTGCATTTTTTAAAGAATATTTTTCAAGAACCATACGAACATCAAACGTGGATTTTTTAAAGAATATTTTTCAAGAACCAAACGACCATCAAACGTGGATTTTTTAAAGAATATTTTTCAATGACCAAACGACCATCAAGCGGGGATTTTTTAAAGAATATTTTTCAAGGACCAATCGACCATCAAACGTGGATTTTTAAAGAATATTTTTCAAGGACCAAACGACCATCAAGCGGGGATTTTTTAAAGAATATTTTTCAAGGACCAATCGACCATCAAACGTGGATTTTTTAAAAAATATTTTTCAAGGACCAATCGATCATCAAACGTGAATTTTTTAAAAAATATTTTTCAAGGACCAATCGATCATCAAACGTGGATTTTTTAAAAAATATTTTTCAAGGACCAATCGATCATCAAACGTGGATTTTTTAAAAAATATTTTTCAAGGACCAATCGATCATCAAACGTGGATTTTTTAAAAAATATTTTTCAAGGACCAATCGATCATCAAACGTGGATTTTTTAAAAAATATTTTTCAAGGACCAACCGATCATCAAACGTGGATTTTTTAAAAAATATTTTTCAAGGACCAATCCATCAGGACCAATCGATCATCAAACGTGGATTTTTTAAAAAATATTTTTCAAGGACCAATCGATCATCAAACGTGGATTTTTTAAAAAATATTTTTCAAGGACCAATCGATCATTAAACGTGGATTTTTTAAAAAATATTTTTCAAGGACCAATCGATCAGGACCAATCGATCATCAAACGTGGATCAGGACCAATCGATCATCAAACGTGGATTTTTTAAAAAATATTTTTCAAGGACCAATCGATCAGGATCAATCGATCATCAAACGTGGATCAGGATCAATCGATCATCAAACGTTGATTTTTTAAAAAATATTTTTCAAGGACCAATCGATCAGGACCAATCGATCATCAAACGTGGATCAGGACCAATCGATCATCAAACGTGGATTTTTTAAAAAATATTTTTCAAGGACCAATCCATCAGGACCAATCGATCATCAAACGTGGATTTTTTAAAAAATATTTTTCAAGGACCAAAAGCCCTTTAATCGTAGAATGACCAAAAGCCCTTTTATCGTCAAAGGTGCATTTTTTTAAGAGTGTTTTCCAAGGATCAAATGACCATCAAACGTGGATTTTAAAAGAATATTTGTTTGTTTGTTTGTGACTAACAAACGTGGATTTTTTAAAGAATATTTTTGAATATCATAAAGAATATTTTTCAAGAACCAAACGACCATCAAACGTGGATTTTTTAAAGAATATTTTTCAAGGACTAAATGACCATCAAACATGGATTTTTTAAAGAATGTTTTTCAAGGACCAAATGACCATCAAACGTGGATTTTTTAAAGAATATGTTTAAGGACCAAACAACCTTCAAACGTGGATTTTTAAAAAAATATTTTTCAAGGACAAAACGACCTTCAAACCTGGATATTTTAAAGATAATTTTTAAGGACCAAACAACCTTCAAACGTGGATTTTTAAAAAAAATATTTTTCAAGGACAAAACGACCTTCAAACCTGGATATTTTAAAGATAATTTTTAAGGACCAAACAACCTTCAAACGTGGATTTTTAAAAAAAATATTTTTCAAGATCCAATCGAACATCTATCGTCGATTTTTAAAGAATATTTTTCAAGAACCAAACGTCCATCAAAAGTGGATTTATTATAGGATATTTTTCAAGAACCAAACGACCATCAAACGTGGATTTTTTTTAAAA